GTTAGAACAGGTAAGAAAAAATAAATCACAATGTATTGGGAAAGGGTGGTGGCTGACAGCCTGTTGAAAAATAAAATATATCACATACTTGTTTCTTTGCAATAAAAAAATATCCGTGTTGCCATCTCACAAGAGCATCACAGTAGTGGGCGTTCTCTGGTTGAGTGTATAGTGGTGATAAGGAAGGCAGGCACTCGGCTGATTACTCTGCTAGACCTGTCTAAAATTTTGGATTATGGCTTGGTGAGATGGTGACTCCCCACCAAAAAAGTGGTCTAGCCAAATCCTGCTTGCACTGCATTCGTTATGTACATACATACAGTACATTCTGTACATACCTCTACTCTCTAGAGTAGATTTTAAGATGAGATTGCAACCCTATCCAACCAACCATGTCATTTAGTTCATGACTGAATGAGATTTTGATCAGTAGCTTCCCAAGTCCTCCTTCTCGTTTCCTCCATCACAAGGGCTCAGTGGTTGAGTGGACAGCTATTTTTAATCATGGGTTTTTTTTAACCCATCATCACTAAATCTCATATAATGCTTCCATCCGAATGGTAGTCTTCACACTCAAGATCAAGCCACAGTATGCCAACCAGATTTTATAGTTTAGCATTACGTATAAACCCCATCACTCTGGAAAGCTGGGTTTACAGATACAATTAGCTTAAAAAGAGCATCACAAGACCTTTAGAAGGTTGGAAAAATATCTCGGTTTCCTTCTGCTCCACCTCTTCCTTCTGTGGCTTGTATCCCAAAATGAAATCCTCTTGAAAGACATGAAGTAGTTGCGTACTGGACCCACACTAGAAGCAGAGTCAAGAAAAATGAGCAAGTTATAACTTTCCAATCAATTATTTACAGCATTATTCAAGGCATTAGGCATTTTGTCATCTGAGCTTTGCACAAATAAGTTAAGTCTATCATTTAACATGTCTACGGAGGTTCTCAGTCATCCAGATCATGGTTGTCCCAAAGGTGCTTTTTCAAAAGGCAACTGGACTTTGTTTTTCCTTGAAGACGTTTCCCTTTTCATCCAAGAAGCTTTTTCAGTTTTGATCCAAGAAGTTTCTTCAGTCAGAACTTAGGAAGCTCCTTGGATGAGAAGCAAAACGTCTTTAAGGAAAAACAAAGTCCAGTTGTCTTTTGAAAAAGCACCTTTGGGACTATCATTTAACACCTTCAAGCTCAGTAAATTTAGTTCCCCAGTATATAAAGAAGGAACATATTGTGGAATATCTTTACGTCAAGATATTTTACTACTTGTTCTTTCATTTCTTTCTACAATTTGAAGAAACTCTGTTGGAAATATATGCGGTTATAACATTTATTTTTGCTTGCATCTTGTTAAAAAGACTGTTCTGTTATTGTCCACTTGTTTTGTTGGCTCGGGTCACCTGCTTCTATCATTAGGCAGAATCAATATTTTCATGTAGATTAAAAAAAACTGGCCCTGTTTGGAGAACAGCTTGCACTGAAAATAAACGAGGGTACATAGACCAGTCAGATATAAAATCATGCACAGTGTGAGGTTTTTACACACGATGTTACAACCTGGAAGAATCCCTTACAATTAAATATGGGAAGATTCAAGACCAATCAAAGGAAGAAATTTCCTTTCAACTTTGACTAGTCGAAGCATCCGAGTTGCTGCCACTAGATTTCAGAATTATTTAGATCAACCTGTGGGTCCTGGGGGGTCCATGAAGGCTTGAAGAGATGTTATGATTTAAATCTTAAATCTTGGTGGTCTGTGACCACCAAAGGTATTTAACTGGGGTCCGTGGTGAAGAAAAGGTTGAGAACCACTGATTTAGATGGTTTTAAAATGAAGGGATGGATGAAACAGTTCATTGGCGAACTGAGTTTTTAACTGCTTTTAATACTGGCTGCCGGCTACCTCTGGAATCTTAAGAAGTAAAACTTAAAACATCAGTCTACACTATAATAAGTAAGTGATTTACCTGGTCAGTTATGACATCCAACTCAATAATGCATCCTGGCCGAGCTGTTGACTGCTGGCTTACAATGTTAAATATTTCTCCAATCAGTTTCTAAAACAGAAAACATGAGCAAAGCCAGCACTGTCAGATACTTTAAACAATATTGGGGTTTAAACAACAGCTCTGAATCTGTATCTACATTTTGGGTAAAATATACAGCTCACAAAAATAAAGGGAACATTTTACCATGGAACTGAAGGGGTTTGCAGTCCCTTTATTTTTGTGAGCAGTATAAAACAAAGCACAGCAGAGCAGAGTTGAATACAGATAGCCCTAGACTTACAAAAATTTGTTTAGCAACTGTTTGAAGTTAGAACATTGAGAAAAATGACTTAAAACCAGTTCTCACACTTATGATGTTGTAGCAGCCTCATGGTCATGCAATTAAAATTAAGTGTTTGACAACTAGCATGTATTTTAGATGGTTGCAGTGCCCCCAGAGTCACGTGATCCCCATTTGCGACCTTCCTAGCTGGTTTCCCACAAGCAAAGTCAATGGGGGAAGGTGGATTTGCTTAACAACGGCATGATTTACTTAACAACTGTAGCTGTCAAGGATGAAACTTTGGCAGCTATGTGCCTCTGCGTTTCAACTTGTCTTTTGATTAAGTGGGAGGAGGTATTATTTTCAAGTGGCTAGATGGAGAAACGAAACTTCTTCGATTCAGCTGAAGATTGTGAGAGCCTGAAACCTTGTCAAGGACACCAGAACAGGTGTGGATTGGAAGCAGATGGTTCCCATAACAAAGTGGACTCGTTGATATGGGTTACGTAAAAGAACGTTGGGGGTTTGGCTGGGAAAACTATTGTTTAAGTATATGAATTGGTGGTTGAAACCTCAGAGTTAGTTTTGCTTTGACATAACCAAGCAGTCTATTCAATAAACAGTAATATTTTTGGAAACGGAATGAACGTGGAGTTTTATTTGGATTCTTGAGCTAGATGCTGTCATTGGCAAATTTGGATTGCTAACAAAGAGTTAAAGGGAAGCTGGTATAGCTATTTCTAGCTCCTTAGCTCTCATCAGTCAGCTATACCCTTCTGAGATTCGAACCTGGGCTGCTTGCACGTTAGGCAGCTGTGTTGACCTCTAAGCCACAGGCTCTTTCTCACTACTCAGTTAACAATTGCCTTTCTTAGTAATGGAAAATTCTAATTCTAAGTTGAGGACCACCTGCACTATAGAGCATAGAGAGTCAAAATCAAGTCAAATCCAATCGAATTTGCCCACGAAACTTACAGAGGCTCCGGGATCACTGAGCTCATCTAACAGCTTCCGAGCATCTACCACAGCTTGATACAACCTCAGGTTCTTCCCATCGGAGGCCACGAAGCAGGCACTGGCCGAATTGCAGTACGTCCCTAATTGGAGAACAAGTTAGCATTGAGTAAGAGCCCTACAGTCCAATGATTATTGCTAGACAAGCTATATATTGTTATATTGTTATGTCCTACCCTGTGGAAAATTAAAAATCCCAAGGATCTAAATGCAAAAAGATAGCAGTCTTTTCCCTCCTTACATTAAAGCAAGCACCTGGTTTTGGAGAAAATAAAAATAAGGGTATGCCAGATCCAAATTTGAAACCTTCAGGAATGTGAGAATGAAAGGGGATAAGAGGTGCTGCCTAGGGGGAAAAAATAGATAAGAGAGTGAGGGGTCCCCATGGCTTAAGGTCAGAGGAAGAAACTTAGATCAAGCAGTTAGAAGTGGCAGTGGGAAGTTTTGTATTTTTAGACTTGCAAGATTCTATTAAGGTAGCCTTACAATAAAATAAATTTAGCTTATCTAGTCGTGTTTCCTACTTGGTTTACCCAGGACAAGGGTAGGCAACCTTGGCTCTTTTATGACTCGTGGACTTCAACTCCCAGAATTCCTGAGCCAGCTTGGCTGGCTCAGGAATTCTGGGAGTTGAAGTCCACAAGTCATAAAAGAGCCAAGGTTGCCTACCCCTGACCCAGGAGGACTGACTGCTGTACACCTAGCACATTATCTCTCTTCTACATACACAGTTTAGAAGTTTGTAACAGAATAGCAAAGTTGGAAGGGACCTTGGAGATCTTCTAATCCAACCCTTTGCTCAAGCAGGAAACCCTATAACATTTCAGGCAAATGTTAGTCCAATCCCTTCTTAAAAACCTCCAGTGTTGGAGCCCTTACAACTTCTGGAGGCAAGTCATTCCACTGGGTGTAGGAAATGAGCAGGCTGAGCTGGGGGGCAGAGTTAAATGCGTCATCAGCTTGGAGTCATTGTGAAGCTACAAGAGACCCAAGTCCAGCCCTCCATAAATCCTGCTGACCCTTATTTAGCGCCAATTTGGCATGACCATTACCAGATCAGATTCTTGGGTAGAGGTAGCATGTAATAAACTTTTAGAGCTTTGAACTCAACTCCTGTTCTTGGTTACTTGCACATGACAAAGAGAGAACGAACAGTCTTACTTCCTATGCTGGGAGATATGAGATAATCGTACTGACCCAGACAATAGCTAGGGATAAGAGTTGGGAGCCAAGCCACGTTCGAGAAAGCAGAAGTATGGAGGGAATTAATGCGCGCCAGTTCCGATACTCCTCCTGTGTAGGACAAAGGCCCAATGGGATCCACTCGCCAGAGGATCAGCTCACTGTAGATCGCATCCGGGTTGTAGAACGTGCGGGTGGCTGCATTTTGCAGATGCTGCTTGGCTGGGGTCCTCAGAGTGGGATGCATGGGATCTGCAGATTTATTTAATCCTTCCAAGTCCCAGGGGTCATCAACCTCGGGAGTCAGCAGGGCATTGTGATGGGACGAGGTCAGCAGCAGGGGTAGCACCGNATCAGCTCACTGTAGATCGCATCCGGGTTGTAGAACGTGCGGGTGGCTGCATTTTGCAGATGCTGCTTGGCTGGGGTCCTCAGAGTGGGATGCATGGGATCTGCAGATTTATTTAATCCTTCCAAGTCCCAGGGGTCATCAACCTCGGGAGTCAGCAGGGCATTGTGATGGGACGAGGTCAGCAGCAGGGGTAGCACCGAATGGCAAGCCAGGTCATTGAGGTGAAACCGATGGCCACAGTACCGAAACTGGTGAGTTACAGTATGGACGGTCGTAAAGGCGGATTTGTCCGCGAAGGAAACGGCCCACTGATTTAAAGAGCCGTCGATGTGTTTGGAGATCATCATGACGGTGGGAGTGCACAAGTTTCCACTTGACGGATCCTGGAATCTGCTGGGTCGACATCCGGACAGGCTGTCTGAAACGCTAGTTCTTTTCCAAGTTGGGGCACTGCTTTCCTTGGAGAAGGTTGGACAGGCGTACATCATGATGTGTTTGCTGAGGGAGCTGGCGTCGCCCGATGGAAAGGCCACGGGAATCTGAGAAGAAAAGGACACCTAGAAAAACCGGGGAAGGAAATGTATTTATTTCATTGATCGCACGGCACATTCACATCACATTTCGACAAGAACGCAAGAGATAAAAATGCAAACTATAAAATATAACATCTGATATATTATAAATGTATGTCTAGATTACAGATATAGTTTTGCTTCGTTTGTCATAGCCAGGAAATCAGTGAAGCCTCCATTATAGGCTCTATTTTGGCACTGTGTCACTATATCTTGGATAGTTTGTTTTTCAGCCCCACATCACCATCGGTGATGGTGTTTTGCCTCACTTCTAGAGGGTGTCTGTACATCAACCATGGTCAAATTTGGTTCAGTGTTGTCCATATTGCATGGGGCTGGTCAAATCCAGCTGTTTTTTCCAAGGTGCGAGGCAAACGATGACATTGGTGGGGAGAAATTTTCTATCCAATGTTGTTTCCAAATTTTATCAGAACAAGAATAGAACAGAACAGAATAGAAAATATGGAATAGAACAGAACAGAACAGAAAATGTAGAATAGAATAGAATAGAATAGAATAGAATAGAATAGAATAGAATAGAATAGGATAGAATAGGATAGGAATAAACTAGACTAGACTGGAATAGAATAGAATTACAGAATAGGAATAGAATAGAATAGAAATAAGAATAGAATAGAATAGAATAGAATAGGAATAGACTAGACTAGACTAGACTAGACTAGAGTAGAATAGAATTACAGAATAGGAATAGAATAGAATAGAAATAAGAATAGAATAGAATAGAATAGAATAGAATAGAATAGAATAGAATAGAATAGAATAGAATAGAATCCTTTATTGGTCAAGTGTGATTAGACACACAAGGAATTTGTCTCTGATGCATAAGCTCTCAGTGTACACACATCCAACAATAAAGTGGTAGGTCATAGATCATAAATCATAGTTACAACCATTAATCATAAGATACAAATAACAAGTGATAAATCATAAGATACCAATAGGAGAAGATAGTAGGAAAGATGAGAAATGAGAAGATGATAATTGCAATACAGCCTATTACATAAGTAAATTTCTTAGGCCTAAGACAGTGCTGTGGGAATTAAGTGTTCAGCAGAGTGATGGCCCAGGGGAAAAAAAAACTGTCTTTGAGACGAGAGAGAAGAAACATCCTTTTTTTTAAAGAAAGAAAGAAAGAACAACCCTCAGGATCAAACCCAACCACTTTTTTCCTGTGAATCATATAAAAAATATCCCACGAATTTTTAAATGCTAGGACAAAACTAGATGTGGCTGTTAACTAATCAAGGAGAGAAGCAACCTGGAACTAAGGAGAAACTTCCTGACAGTGAGAACAATTAACCAGTGGAACAACCTGCCTCCAGAAGCGGCGAATGCTCCAACACTGGAAGTTTTTAAGAAGAGACTGGACAGCCATTTGTCCGAAATGGTATAGGGTTTCCTGCCTGAGTAGGGGGTTGGACTAGATGACCTCCAAGGTCCCTTCTAACTTTATCATTATTATTATTATTATTATTAGGTATTTACTGAACTTTTTTTTAAAAAAAATCCTAATGCTTCATGTCCGTACTACAGTACCAGTAGATATGGAAGCTGGAAGCCAGTAGTGCTTTGGTTATTTTAATTATTAGACTGAGGCACACTTACAAAAGTACGTGGGAAAGTATACCTGGAAGTACCAACATTTCTAGACAATTTTTCCCCTCTTGGCATGTTTTAAGTCAGTGTTTTTCAAGCTTGGGAACTTTAAGATATGTGGAGCTCAACTCCCAGGAACCTGGCTGGCTGGAGAATTCTGGGAGTTGAAGTCCACACAGTGGACAAAGTTGAAGTCACCAAGGGTTTCCTGCCTGAGCAGGGGGTTGGACTAAATGACCTCCAAGGTCCCTTCCAACTTTATTATTATTATTATTATTATTATTATTATTATTATTATTATTATTATTATTATTATTATTATTATTATTATTATTATTATGGATCATCGCACAGTCAGCCAGATGTTCAGACTGGATTTGGCATTTTGTCTACCTATCGAGTCCTTACCCAGGACCTGGGATAGGCAGATGTGGATGTTTGATGGTATTACAGATTATTATTATTATTATTATTATTATTATTATTATTATTATTATTATTATTATTATTATTTAACCTGCACTTAGAAAAATCAGCCAATAGCATCTGCTGGCAAGGGGACATCAAGTGGAGACTGCGAGTTTTAACACTCCCTTCCTCTTCTCTGAACACGGGAATGCAGTCTTGGAAGATGCATCTACCTGAACTTGTCGAAAGATGCCTGGGTTGTACTCATCTAGATGCTTCACATGCCACACTAAAAAGGTCCCGTCCACGGGATGAATGGTGAACAGCATATCTGGATTTTGGTTCCATTCTTTAAGCAGAAGTTCAATCTTCCGGTCAAGCAAGACTGTAGGAAGTTGAACTGTTGCAGCAGCTGGAGAAAGAATTTTGGGACTTCCCTCCTTTTCTCCATCGTCGTGATCTGAGGAGCCAGTCCCTGTCTCAGATTCTCTGTCGAGAGACAACTCTGAAAGGAAAAGATCAAAAGACCAAGAGCTGTTACGTTGCTCAATGTTATGTGGCGGACGAGGAGAAGGGAAGAATGTTGGAGACGAAACACCCGACTATCCTCGTTCAGCATTTCCTATTCTAAGCATTGATTATTAATTGCTATGAAAAAAGGTTTAATATAAGCTTGGGACTATCCAGAAACAAGGACAGAGACAATTTCCCCTTATTATTTCATTGACTTGCTAGAACTTTAGTTGCTTGATCATACAAGTACACCAAGGTCAGGAAATCTGAATCCTTCAAAGTATTATTGAACATTTTTCACTACAGATAGTCCTCAACGTACGACCACAACTGAACCCAAAATTTCTGTTGCTAAGTGAGACCTTTGTTCAGTGAATTTTGTCCCATTTTATGACCTAACTTGCCTCAGTTGTTAAGTGAATCACCTCACTTGTTAAGTTAATAATACAGTTGTCTGGCTTCCCCGTTGACTTTGCTTGTCAGAAGGTTATAAAAGCTAATCACAGGACCCCGAGACACTACAACCGTCATAAATATGAGTCAGTTGAGAAGCGTCTGAATTCTGATCATGTGACCACGGAGATGCCACAAGGGTCATAAGTGTGAAAATCAGCCATGAGGCCCTTTTGTCAGTGCTGTTGTTAACTTTGCACAGTCGCTAAACGGACCGTATCAAGGATTACTTCACTTCAACTCAAGAGCAAGATTGTTGGTCAAGTGTAACCACCTGATTTCTCAGCTACAACTACAGGGGGTGGTGGAGGAGAGGAGAAGTAGCTACAACTAACCATGATCAAGCTTCATGAGTAAGCCTCTCTCTTTCTCTTCATCCCCTCTTTCAGAAACATCCCCTTCTGATCCTCTCATTTGCTGATCCGCCAGTTTTCGTAAGTGCTGCATAAAGATTTCCGTGGAAGATGTAAAATGGAATTCCTTGTTATTTAGCCAATGGACCACAAAGCCTTCGTTGCCTTCATCGAAATTAAAAGCGGTCTTCACCAGTGCCGGTGGAATATCTGAAGAAGGGACAGTTTGGGGAAAAAAAAAGAGAGAGAGAGAGAGCTTGATTTAGACATTAGAAAAGCTATTCAATGTTTTCAGGCACTTGGGAAATGGGTTTGCTGAAAAGGATGTTGCAACATCTTGGAACCGTTATCAACCCTTTCCCCGGTTCCAAACTTATTTTTCAAAAGGAAATTAAGGCAAGCGATCAGATTCAACATCTGCAGCTATTGTCCACAGCTGCTAGGAAGCGTGCCCATTTTTTTTTAATTGAAACTGCATGTAAAAATATATAACGCATCCAGGTAGGGGAAGCCTACATATACATTTGTTTGCAAAATAAACATGGCAAAGAAAAAAAAATTAAAGCAACAGAAGAAGCAAAAAGAAAAAGTGTAACTGTACGGGTAATATTCTCCATCTCTCTTCCTGTTTTTTCTTCTGCTGTTTCATTTTTTCTTCTTCTGCAATTGTTTTTAAAAATCATCCTGCTGTAGTTTGCTCTGCACTCTAAGTCTCAAAAGAAAAGCTACTGCTGAACCACAATTTGCAAATGCCAACAGAAATCGGTCGGTTGAGACATTGTGGAAATTATACAAGACAGGAGAAAGAATTTATATTATTGCAAACTATACGTTTTATCTTTTAACACTGCAAGGTGAGCAGAGTTACGGTGGGGCAAAATGGGCAGCTAATACATTTTATAAACAAATGAGCAAACAAACAAATGTAAAATCCCATTGCAAAGTTTGAAGTATCACCAAGCATGATCTTATACTGCAGTGGTCCCCAAACTTTCCAGCTTGGTGGACTGGTGGGTGGGTGGGGGGGAGGAGAAAGGATGGTTTCGTGTGAGCAGTAGGCACATGCATGAGTGCACGCAACTCCATTTACACATGCCGCTTGCATGTCCCGCTTCAGAATGGGCTGTGGTCCAGGCTGTGTGTGTGTGTATGTTTGGGGACCGTGTTATACTGTAGAGAGAGCTACGTTCTTCTGCCATGGTGACGCAGTGGTTAGAATGCAGTACTGCAGGCTAACTCACTGCTCACAGCCTGCAGTTTGATCCTGACTGGCTCACGGTTGACTCATCCTTTCATCCTTCCATGGTAGGTAAAATGAGGACCCAGATTGTTGGGGGCAATATGCTGACGCAGTAAATCGCTTAAGAGAGGGCGGGAAAGCACTATGAAACCGTATATAAATCTAAGTGTTATTGCTAATGCTAAATTTAAAAATCCATTATAAAGTTTGAAGCATCACCAAGCCTGATCTTATACTGCAAAGCAGAGGTCCCCAACCCCTGGTCCGTGGACCGGCACCGGTCCATGGCATACCAGCAACTGGGCCGTGGAAACAAGTTAACCCCAGACAGCACATGAAACCATGCCCCCTCTGGGTGCGGAAAAATCTTTCTCCACAGAACCGGTCCCTGGTGCCCAAAAGGTTGGGGGCCTGTGCTATAAAGCTAAGTTCTTCTGCTTAGTGTACATAGAGTATAGAGCAGGGGTGGGGAACCTTGGCTCTTTTATGACTTGTGGACTTTAACTCCTAGAATTCCTGAGCCAGCATGGAGTTGAAGTCCACGAGTCATAAAAGAGCCAAGGTTGCCTATCCCTGGCCTATCCTATCTAGCATGGCTGGCTCAGGAATTCTGGGAGTTGAAGTCCATGAGTCATAAAAGAGCCAAGGTTCCTCACCCCTGGTATGGAGGAAAGTTTGACAAACTTCTGCTAGATAGGATAGGGCAGGGGTAGGCAACCTTGGCTCTTTTATGACTCGTGGACTTCAACTCCCAGAATTCCTGAGCCAGCCATGCTGGGGGGGAAAGGGAGAGGTTTCCAAGCTGAGCCATGCTGGCTCAGGAATTCTGGGAGTTGAAGTCCATGAGTCATAAAAGAGCCAAGGTTGCCTACCCCTGGGATAGGCAGTAAATACAAATAGAGAACTCACCAGTGTTGGGGTTAATGCTTGCAGCTATATGGAAATGGCAGAGCGCGTTAGCATGATGGGAAATATGGCGCTGCACTTCGTGGATTCCCAACTGGTTGGGTAGGTCTTCTGCATGAGTGATGAGCACCGAAGATCTTCGCTGACCCTTTCTCAAGTTCTTCAGATGGTGGATTGTCTGAAGCAAAGGAAAAAAAGGAAGGTTAGGAGAGGAGAGCAAAAAAAGAAAATATTTACAAAAAAAAAAAAAAGCCCAGAACAAAATCCCATCAGGAAGGTCATTGTAATCCAGAGTGAATATTCACCTCTGAAATATTAGCCAGTTTTCTTGCTAAAATTGGACCAAACTAGCAATAACAAGAGATGGAGAAGATGTCACTAAGGACTAGTATCCAGTAGCTATTTGGCTGGTGTCTTATCTTGTCCACTTTTTAGTTTGAGGTAACATCTTAGGAAAGGAAGGAAGGAAGGAAGGAAGGAAGGAAGGAAGGAAGGAAGGAAGGAAGGAAGGAAGGAAGGAAGGAAGTCACAGCAAAAGAGTCACTAAGAACTAGTCACTAAGAACTAAAATCCCGTAGCTATTTGGCCTGATGTCTTATCTTGCCCACCATTTAGTTGGAGGTCACATCTTGGGAAAGAAAGGAAGGAAGGAAGGAAGGGAAGGAAGGAGGAGGGAGAGAGGAAGGGAGGGAGGGAGGGAGGAAGGAAGACAGATACACACTTTCATAGATTCTAACACTGCTGATTTTGAATCTCTGCTACTGAGAGGTGATATTAACTCCAGACAAATAAAAGGGATCATCTAACACCCAATTCTTTCGTTCATCATACTTCTAAAGCATGCTGAATGTTGTCTTTGTGCCTTCCTGAATGTGAGAAGCTGCTGCTGGAACTGATGCTTGACGTGCTTGTTTCGCAGATCTGCTCCCCCAACAGCGTATCTTCGGGCAACAACGTCTCCACCCACAGTCGACAAACGCCATCCTGACACGAAGTAAGGAGCACGTTGCAAACAGATCCCCTGAGGAGAAGAAGCACAAAGAAAGACTATGTTGGATCACAATCCATGGAGGACTACAATCCTTTGAAACTCGGTCGTTAAGTCCCCTTTTTTTGAGGGCAACTGTAATTTTGAATGGTCACAAAGTGACTCGACATAAGTCAAAAACTACTTGTAGGAGCATTTGGCTACTGATAACAATGCACACAAGGAAACAATTCTAAGTTTGGGGTCTCTGATGCTCTCTGAGCTTGGTTGTTTTCTTGCAGGCTCTTCATTACCCAACTAGGTAACATCATCAGTGCTAGAAGTGAGTGGGTTTGCTCTCTGTTTATATACAAGTGTCAGAGTTGGTGGGAGTATTCTAGATGATTCCTTTATTAGGTTGTTGTTTAGTGTTTGATTGTTGATCTGAATTGGTACTTCCTTGATTGATTTACCATTTACTTTATCTAAGGGCAAACTTTATCAAACAGTAAACACCAGGGACCAAACCCCACTCCCTCTAGCACTGATGAAGTTACCTAGTTGGGTCATGAAATGTCTACAAGAAAACAACCCAGCTCAGAGAGCACCAAGGACTCCACAGTTCCACCCTGAGCTACCAATATTCTCTTTTATCAATTCTAACTTTCTCTTTTGTGGGCTTGTCGATTTACAGAAGTTATCCGCTTTGAATGTCGCCTGGTTAGAGGTAGGACCAAAATCAAACGAATACAACCAACACAGAGATGCCTATGCTGTCGGATTAAAATGGTTCTTTTTTGGGGGGTGGGTGGGGGAGTGTTGGAGACCATCATTTTCTTCCAGAATTATCCTAACCTGGGCATAAACTTGCTAGTGTGTCGCCACGAAAATCCCGTCACTGCCCGGGGATGCGAAAGGTAGACAAATGCAAAATGGACGGAGGCAGATGTTTTTTTGGTTTCATCTCCCTCTTGGGGACGGAGAGATGATTTCCAGCCCATCATGGGGTACCAGACTTTTAAGAGGCAGTCGTCCTGAATGAAACAAAATAGAGGAAAGGTCATTTGCATCCCAAAGTCTTGCATGAACTGGATTAAAGCCACATTGCAAGAGGCAGAAGAACGGAGTCTACCCTTCTTCCGTCATTCAGCCTCTCCATTCATCCCAAAGTAGCTGCTAATATTGTAGGACAGTGGTGGCAAACCTATGGCACGGGTGCCAGAGGCGGCGCTCAGAACCCTCTCTGTGGGCACGCGCGCCGTCGCCCCAGTCCTAGGCCTTCAGCTGGGTTTTATAAATTTATATATTCTTTTCGCTTTAGGCCTCCGCCGCCGTGTGCAAAAAAAAAAAGAAAAGGTTCAATCAGTCAAATTTCAACTTCTCGTGGGAAAAAGAAAGATATTGCAAAGTTGGAATTTATTGATTGAACTTTTTAGTCCCACCCAGTCTGCCGTTACCATCGCAGCCACGCCCACCCAATGGGCTAGGCCCATCCAAAGGGCCACGCCCACCCAATAGGCCACACCCAGCCAATGGGCCACACCCACCCGGCACTCGACGATGCATAAGTGGGTTTTGGGTTGCAGTTTGGGCACTCGGTCTCTAAAAGGTTCGGCATCACTGTTGTAGGAGAAAAGGGAACGGCTGCAGTCCCATAGCAGGTCTTACTTACGGGGAAGCATTTTTAGATGGACAAATATATCATTGCTTTCTGCGTGTCTGCTCTGCTTGAGTCCTACTTAGTGACAGCAAATATTTCCTTCAGAGTGACCTGTCCCATATCTAGCTCTTTGGCTTTTCCAAGGGTGCAACTCATTGCCATTGTAACCAAACCTATCAAAGCACCTGAAGGCAGGACAAGAAGCAATGGATAGAAACTAATCAAGGAGAGAACCAACCTAGAGCTAAAGAGAAATTTCCTGACAGTTAGAACAATTAATCAGTGGAACGGCTTGCCTCCAGAAGTTGTGAATGCTCCGACACTGGACGTTTTGGACAACCACTTGTCTGAAATGGTATAGGGTTTCCTGCCTAAGCAGGGGGTTGGACTAGAAGACCTATAAGGTCCCTTCCAACTCTGTTATGCTGTATTCTGTATTCTATCCACCTTGCTGCCTCCTTCTCCTCCTCTTCTTCCTTTCACCCTCAACTTCAGAATAGTTTTGGGCAAGAATGGAGGCCATTTTTGTCTGTATTTTTCAAGTTAGAAGCAGGCTATGGTGTGACATGAGTGCTTTTGGTTTGCTGTAGCTTAAAAAAAAACTCATTTCAACCTTGATGGTCCTTAAACAGTTCCTTCAAACCTGGCCCCACCCTTGTTGACTGGCCATGCTGGTGCAGCTCCTGAGTTAGCAAAACCTTATGCTCCCCAACTGTAAACCATTCTTGGCAAATTGCAATGTTGTAAACCAGGGGTCCTCAACCTTGGTAACTTTAAGACTATGCTGGCTGAGGAATTCTGGGAGTTGAAGTCCACAAGTCTTAAAGTTACCAAGGTTGAGGATCCCTGTTGTAAACAATCTCTAGCTAATAAAGCAGACTTCCCAAACACAACGAATGTGAAAAGGAAAGTGCTGGCCTTCAAGGATAATCTGATTCATCAGTTGTGACTGGCAGATGGGGAGCAATCAGCCAGTGAGCTGGCCATATTCAGGAAACGGATGTTATCTCTGGTTGAAAATAACAGATATGAAGAAACCACATCTAGACAGATACAAATCAAGGGAGCCACAAAGGATCTGCCACCCAATGGCTTCTCAGGGTCTGGTTCTCAACTGAATCATCTGGGAGGACAGATCTGCTCAGGGAAGAAATTCAGGAATTTGGCGGATGATGTTTGTCAGCATGTAAATGTGCATTAGGATGCTTCAGGAAGTTCCCCATTCTCTTACCAAAAAAAGCAGCTTCCTCCTTCTTTTTCCATCCAAACTGATACTAACTATCTTTTAACTGTATTTTCTTTTCAGCCAATCATAAAAACTTCCCCAGATTTCATAGTAGTCTGACTCTGTCTTATCTTTAATCATCATTGATAAGGAGGGAGACCTGGGCGACACAGTATTGAATAACTGGAGGTTGTATAAATATTTATAGAAGTATATACCGAGAAGGTTAGATAAATAGAAGTATTAATGTAAGAGAAAATTAATCTTATTGTATATAATACAGATAGGGAAATTTGGAGAGAGGAGTTGCTCGGACATTACCCCTGAATTGTATCTGAAGAGGGATGAAAGAAAGGAGAGGAGAGAGAAAAGAGTAAAGGAGGGGAGAAGGAAGTAGGAAGGTTGGAGGAGAAGAGGAGAAGTGGGGAGAAAGGGGAGGAGAGTGGTGAAGGAAAGAGGAGAGGAGAGGAAGAAGAGGGAAGTAGGGAAGAAAGAGGAGAAAGGGAGAAAGAAGGTAGAGAAGAAGGAGTGTGGATACAGTGAAAAGGGAAATGGGCGAGCAACACCAAAAGTCACGTGTATGTATTTATTTCATTTCATTAAAAGTATCTTATATATAAGAATGTAAAAAGAATGTATGTTAACGTCTGATAAATATCACGATATATATATGGGGGAGAGTTTGGAAAAATAAAAAATAAAAAAATTAAAAAATTTTTTTTTAAAAAAGCAGCTTCCTCTTCAAGGCAGAAGACCAACCTTTTGGTTTCATTAGTGATCTTTTATATTTCACCAGCAAGTGTTATCTGGGCTGTTGGTCACTTTCTTTTTCATTTATACTGACATTATTTATCTGCTAAGCTAAGTGCCACAACCTCTGAGGTACAGCCAGAGGAAGCGACACACCGTCGCTGATTCAAAACAGGAATGAATTAAAACAAAAAACAAACAAACAAAAACTTTTACCTTCCCAGCTGTTGCAAAATATTCGCCATCCGGGGACCACTCCATCAAGTGGACAGAAACGGCTGTCCTAAAGAACAATCAAAGAAGGCAACTCTCAACTTGGAAGGCTTTTAAATAGCTATTGCAATGTCAAGGTAGGCTATCCATGTCAGGCTGTAGTCATGGATACCCTCGACATCTTGTTATCCACCCAGAATTAATTGCTGCCCCATATGATGCATTTTTAAAAACTAATTCTATCCTCAAAGCTGAATATATAGCCTAAATCTTTTTGGGTGGCTCGGCAGGCTAGTCAAACAGTGCCTTGTTACTTTAGCAATTTTGATACCTCTTCAGTTCAAGCAGTATTGAGAGATTTGGGCTGTTGCTATCAATGGCGCAGAAGGACGGATTGAGAATGTTGTATGAAGCAACATCTAATTGTGCTTTTTTTAACTAACTAAGATTAAATACTCAATTGGGGTCATGTGCGAACTTTTCAGAAAAATCTTCATAGTTTGGCAGAATGAAAAGGAGAACCACTGACTTCCTTCTTTATCAAGTGCCTTCTCTTCCCTCTTAAAAAGCAAACAGGTTGGATAAGATGACTTATCTTATCTTAATTAAAAAACCAGGAGGAAACAGAATATTACCGAATTTGGAATAAATTTTACAAGTGGAGGGAAATAAGAAGGAAGTTGATAGAAGGGATATAAATAGGGGACTTGATATGTATAGCTGTATAGGTAATATTTATTCTTATATGTAAAGTATGGAATGATTAGACAAAGATGTATGTCAAAGATGATACACCACGTTCAATGTTTTTTTTTAAAAATTTCTTTCCTTTGTATTCAATAAAATATATTTTTTTAAAAAAGCAAACAGGTTGATATAATGTCCCAAGTAGCTAGACATAGCTTATCCTTCCTCCTTTCTTTCCTAAATCTCTCTTAAAACCTATGGCTCCCAACTCTTTGCTGAGATGGTTGGAGTTCCCCACAAATTATAACAGGACTGGAAATAACAATAGCACTTAGACTCATATACCGCTCCATAGTGCTTTACAGCACTCTCTGAACTGTTTAGAGAGTCAGCATATTGCCCACAACAATCTGGATCTTCATTTTACTGATCTTGGAAGGATGGAAGACTGAGTTAACCTTGAGTTTGTCAGGATTGAACTCCTGACAGTGGGCAGAGTTAGCCCGCAATACTGCATTCCAACCACTGCGCCACCACGGCTCATGGATACAGTCCCCGTAGCTTGTTTTTAACCTTTGGCTTTCTGAAAAAGCCAAGGTTTTGAAATTTATTTTATTTTTATTTATTTATTTATATTTATATTTCTACCCCGCCCTTCTCCCTGCGGACTCAGGGCGGCTTACAGCCTTTTAAAAACAGTACATAACTACAAAAATACTAAAGTTAAAATGTTAATTAAAATAAAATATTATTATAAGGCCTTTATTATCCCTTTCTTTTTTAAAATAGCCTTGTTCTGGAAGAAAACTCTTTGCAATTTGAAATGCCCTGGGAAAAAACATCCTATCAATGTTTTTTTTTGCTACTGGACATTCTAGCAGCAAATCTGGAACCCCATCTGGATGACTAGATCGCCAGTAAGCTAAAGACACAAATGTTTCCTGACACAAATGTTTCACTGCCTTTTCTTTTCCGTCTTTGCTTACCTGCACTGCCAGATGCATTTCCAATCATTTAGAACAGGATGGTTTTTATCCTCTTTGACCCCGAGATCAGGATTATCTTCTCCTTCCTCGTCTTCTTCTTCCAACACATCCTTAGCAGGAGGGGCCCACAGTTGTAAATTATCCGTTGCGGTGAGTAAGCGATTCCCTGAGAATAAAGGAAGTTTTAAAGGACACAGAACAGAATGATTTAGTATCTCTCAGCTTCTACAACAGCCTCCTTATCTGGGATAAGCTTGGGATAATATGCGAGGAAAAAAAATATACTGGGAAAAAATAAACACATTTCCGTAGAGAAAATAATTCTACTAACAGAAGGAGCGGTTTGGTTATCATAGTTTGCAATATTACTACTACATTCCTTTTGGCAGCTCTGAAGCACTTCCAGGTGGAAAGCTGGTGACATCACCGTTGCCCAGGGTGGCTCCTTTTATGTTCCCCGTTTAGCTACCCACTGAAGTGGTACCCATCTATCTACTCAGTCATTCGCTTTCATACTGCAGGGTTGGCAGCAGCTGGAGTGAGTGACAGGAGCTCACGCAGTCCCACGGCAGCAACCGTGTCTCAAACGCGAGCTCGCCAATGGCCAGGCCAGCATACTAACCTTGTGAGCCTCCCCGCTCATTGTTTGCAATGAAAATCAGCAACACAGTAGTTTGTCTATCAAGCTTTGTGCTTCCTCCAAACCAGCCCCCATCTGAATATTTGAAGTGTGGTTTGCGCATAGCCAGAAGTGGAAGAAGTCTCCCCAAAGAGGAAATGACTCTTGATGTTTCAAACACGGTCTCACTCAAAATAGCCTGTGCATGTAAGCTTTTATGCTTGCAATTTCTGGCTCATATTAAGAGTTCTCTATATGGCACATAATGCCCTAAATATAATTTGAGCCTCCAGAAAAGCTACTAAATATTATTAGTGCACAACCACTTCATCAACAGAACAAGATGGATAGATAGTTTATTAATGGATTAGACTCACAATGGTATCATGTACAAAAACATATACACAGTACAGAGAAGAGCAACAAAGATGATTAGGGGACTGGAGGCTAAAACATATAAGGAACGGTTGCTGGAATTGGGTATGTCTAGTTTAACAAAGAGAAGGACGAGGGGGGACATGATAGCAGTGTTCCAGTATCTCAGGGGCTGCCACAAAGAAGAGGGAGTCAAGCTATTCTCCAAAGCGCCTGAAGGCAGGACAAGGAGCAACGGGTGGAAGCTAACCAAAGAGAGAAGCAACCTAGAACTAAGGAGAAACTTCCTGACAGTTAGAACAATTAACCAGTGGAACAACCTCCCTCCAGAAGTGGTGAATGCTCCAACACTGGAAGTCTTTAAGAAGAGACTGGACAGCCATTTTTCCGAAATGGTATAGGGTTTCCTGCCTGAGCAGGGGGTTGGACTAGATGACCTCCAAGATCCCTTCCAACTTTATCATTATTATTATTACAGTGGAGACCTGAATCAGCTTTTTACTCTATTGCCTTCTGCACTGTGGAAATCAAAAGATTTCCCTTAAAGGTGACACCCCAGATTAGCTTCTTGCACCTCTACACACCTTGAGAGGTGACCACAGTCACACTTTCTTACCTTGAGGATCCCATGCCAAGTTGAAGGTCATGGAAGTAAGGAAAAATTGTCCGGTTTTCTGCCATTGACACTTGAGTTGCTGCGGGACAAGGGCACAAATTAGTCACCGAGGACCACAAATGATGTCATTCTTTTTTTGATTACCTTTGGTGGACAAAATTAAGCAATCACACTGTTGGCCAAAAGAGAATGCTTTAGTGCTAATAATGAATGCCAACCACATCTGCAAATTAAGCACCTTCAGAAGTGGAACACAATCACAGCTCCGACATAAAAAAACAAGCAGAAAAAATATGCCGACACTCCTGCTGTTCTCCATGAATAGCTAATTCTTAGTACATCAAGAAAAAGGCGGAGAAAATTAGCTTGATGCCCCATTGCTTAATTAGGAGGAATGAAATTAAAGATTTGCATAAAAAAGTCATACAGAGAGAGAGAGAAAGAGAGAGAGATTCTTGGGCACAAAAAGATGGTTACAAAAATATTGTAGAGAAGTTACTTAGCGTAAAGAATGCCTACATATAATTGGCTCTGGTTGCAAATTTTATTATATCCTGGTTTTGTAGGGTGCTGGGATTACAATGAAAAAAAACCCCTACCCATTTATCTACCTATTCAATGCCCAGCATCTTTTGATAGAGTTGCAAAGACCCATTGAATAAAATCCCTTAGACTGTGTTGACATTCAGTGTTACCCACGTTAATGTAGATTGATCCATGGTAGGACATAGTCAAGGGCAATTCTCTATGGTCCTAACAACATGGAGAAATATTTAACTCTCATCTTAGATCAGATGGAGAAGTTTCACAAACATTCTAGATCTGGAACAACAGCCAGAGGGAAATTCTAACACATTCTTACTCCAGACTTCCCATGTCTTCTAGTCCTTTTATTACAGCCAACTTCAGTGTGGCAGCTGACGCTCTTCCTATGTCCACATCTCATGCGCTGAAGTTCAACTTTCATAAGACATTATGGCCAAAGTCTCAAGGAAGTGAAAGTCCAGTGCATCTGCTAGAGGTTGCTAAATCCACGTAATGTAGGTATGGGGCAATCCTTGCTTAACAATGGCAATTGGGACGGGAATGTCCATTGTTAAGCAACACAGCCATAAAATACAATGTCACATGACTGTGCCACTTAGTGACAGCACTGTTGTCTGTTGCCATTGTTAAGCGAATCCTGCACCTTTGTTTAAGCGCAAGGTTACTCGGTCACCTTTTGAAACCTCCTCATTGCTTATTGGAAGCTGGCAATGAAGGGTGCAAATGGTGATCAAGTGATCACAGGATACTGTGATGCACTTCAGGTTGGTTGCCAAGCGCCCTGATCATGGTCACAGGAACGCTGCAACAGCTGTTAACCAGAAGACCAATCACCAGTACTTCGTAGTTTCAAATAGTCATCCAGCGAGTGGTCATTAAATAAGAACTATCTGTAGTGATTCTTTACTCTACCTCAGTGGTGGCGAACCTATGGCACGGGTGCCAGAGGTGGCACTCAGAGCCCTCTCTGTGGGCATGCGTGCCATCGCCCCAGTCCTAGGCCTTCAGCTGGGTTTTATAAAACCTTTTCGCTTTAGTCCTCCGCCGCCATGTGCAAAAAAAAAAAAAAGGTTAAATCAGTCAATTTCAACTTCTCGCGGGGAAAAAAAAGTTGAAATTGATTGATTGAACTTTTTAGTCCCACTCAGTCTGCCGTTACCGCCGCAGCCACACCCACCCAATGGGCCACGCCCACCCAATGGGCCACGCCCACCCAATGGGCCACACCCACCCGGCACTCGACGATGCATAAGTGGGTTTTGGGTTGCAGTTTGGGCACTCAGTCTCTAAAAGGTTCGCCATCACTGCTCTACCTCTTCCCACCTGTTTTCCCTTGTACTTCTCAGCTTTGCTTCCAAACCAGCATGTGAGAATGGTTTTAGATTTTATACAAGGTCCTGGTTGGAAAGAAAAGGTCTGGGAATTTGGAGAAAAATTCAGAGGCAGGTCAGCTAAAGAAATGCACTTTGGGGGTCTTTAAAGCATTATTTTGCAGCCCAAATGCGTTGAACATCCGAGTTTGGCTATGAAGCAAGTCTTTCTAGTCTCACGAATGACATTGCAAAAAAAAAGACTCTATGAGCAATAGAAAGTAAAAGGACAACAGAAACCACATAATACTTACACAATTTCTCTTATGAGAATTTACCCCCAGGGGCTCAAAAATACACACAGTGTTTCCATAAGAGGCAGCAATCTGAGCAGAGAGAGAGAAGAAGCAAAAGGTGAATCTGCGTTTAAACCACACAATACAACAAAACCTTACAACCAGTGGTGGGATTCAGCCGGTTCACACCACTTTGGCAGAACCAACAGCTAATTTTTTGTTGCCCATGCTCAGAAAGGACTTCCGGAAGTGGCATCCACGCAGAGAACCGGTTGTTCACATATCTGAATCCCACCACTGCTTACAACCAAAGGGCGGGTCAACCAGAAATGAGTTATCTTCCTTTTAACGAGAATGCAATTCCCATTGCAAGCTTCCATCTTGCCATTTAAGAACAGAGCTCCTTTTTAATAGCCACAACACCCCAAGACTTTAAATCTCTTACCCGGCCTTGTTGGGAACATTCCACACAGCTGACCTGGATGTTTCCATGCTTAGCACCAGGAATAATTTGTACGCATTCAAAGTCATTGGCCAAGATGACAATATCACATCCAGAGCCGTAAGCCTACAAGAAATAAACCAAGGAAGAAGGAAAGAAAATTCTTGTCTCTATTGGCTTGAAAAGGAATTAGTGGCAAAAAAAAAGCGTATATATTTAATTTAGTCTGATTCTCAGAGACTGCCTGGACAAGTCTCTGCATTTTTCTGGTTAAGGTTTTTCAGAAGTGGTTTGCCATTACCTCCTTCCTAGGGCTAAGAGAAAGTGACTGGCTCACGGTCACCCAGATGCCTTTGTGCCCAAGATGGGACTAGAACTCACAGTCTCCTGGTTTCTAGCTTGATGCCTTAACCAATACACCAAGCTGATTTCCTAGGTCCAATTGACCCAAATGCTTTTAAGACAGAATCAGTCATCATAAAAGACTGATTGATGATATTCTGATAAAATATTTCTGTGCAGGCTCTATAAAGGCAGGCATCTTTGTCCACAGAAGAGTCTTTAGACTACGATACCCACAATCTTTTGCTATTAGCCACGTTGACAGGCCAAAGACTACGATACCCACAGTATTTTGCTGTTAGCCACGTTGACAGGCCAAAGACTACGATACCCACAATCTTTTGCTGTTAGCCACGTTGACAGGCCAAAGACTACGATACCCACAATCTTTTGCTGTTAGCCACGTTGACAGGCCAAAGACTACGATACCCACAATCTTTTGCTATTTGCCACGTTGACAGGCCAAAGACTACGATACCCACAATCTTTTGCTATTAGCCACGTTGACAGGCCACGTGGTCAGGCGTTGAAATCAAAACATCTGGACTACGCAACTGTTTGCCTAACCTTGAACTGCAGCAATGTCATTTCACTGGTCCGAAAACATTCTGCTTCTGGTGACATTTTTCTTGTCTGCCTATTCTGAGTTATTATCAGTAGGGACCTTATCTGCAGCGATATTTTAAGAAGAGAGTCTGGTTATATCAAAGTCATGCTACAGAACCAGTAGGGTGAAAAAAAAAGATATTTTCTAACGCTGGCTAAGCTTCTAACCATTAACGTTGAATCAAAACAAATCTCATCGTCTGGACTTTAATGTTGTAAAGTAAGTTAGAAAAACAATACTTGTTGATTGCTTAGCATGAGCCAAAATCACCTGAAAGGCACCCAGGTTTGGGAATTATAGCCTTCAATACATTGATCAAGCATGTGGGTGCATGCATTGTATGTATGCAAAGCTAATTTAAAAAAAATTGATTCAACAAATTAGAGTTTACTTTGAATTCTACCAGCATACCTATTTTGGCTATTGTAAAGATTCTAAAAGAATGTGGGGAACAAACACTGCCATTGTTATATACTTGTGTTTATCATTGTCATAACTGAACATAACTTTAGATGTCTGTTCTGAAAAAAAGGAGTCAACTTTTCATTGTACTTTTACTCTTGCTGGATTAGACTTTATATCAATCTTCCTTTATGTATGTGTGATCAATCACACCAATGACAAATGCAGCATTTGCCAGTACCATTACACTGCTGGGACTAACAACCAAGTTCAAGAGTTTTTAAAATATGGCGTAGAAGGTTTCTAGTAATCCTCCAATGTAGTGTGTTTTATAATTTTTAATATTTTTTGCTGGGGTGGGAATTCTTTTTTTTTAATTATTTTGTTTCTAGGAAATCTTTACAAAAGAACTTTTAAATAAACTTTTAAATAAAGTTTAAGTGAGGTTTTGAAAGTCTTCACATTTCATTGTGGTGGTGCTTTTTACAATAAAACATGATTCTATTAAAAAAAAAATCACAACATTTGCATAGGTGCAGGAAATTCTAACCATTCCTCCCTCACATTCTGTCTAAGTCTTACGCATTTTAATAGTGAAACTATGAATATGTGTTTGAGAAATGTTCTGGGGCAGAAGTGGGAAGGGGTGGTAGGAAAAGAAGCTTAAGGGTATTTGCGAAAAACAGAAGCAGTGCGGAAAGTCAAGTTGTGTTTCTGCAACAGTAGGCAGCTTCTGCAGACCAAACGGCTTTGCAGAAGCATGAAGTACAAAGCCTCATACCACCCACACAGATTTAGTGCCAGCTTTAGTTGCTCGGCTACCTACAGTAGAAAATGGGATGGAATTTGCAAGCTGCCAGAAGCAGGAGAATGACTTGCAAGATCCTCAGAATGATATTTTGCAAAAACCTTTAAAAAGAAGTTCATGTCCGTCCACCCCCAATAGCACTTAGCAATAGCAATAGCGCATAGACTTGTATACTGCTACGTAGTGCTTTACAGCCCTCTCTAAGCGGTTTTACAATGTCCACATATTGCCCCCAACGATCTGGATCCTCATTTTATTGACCTTGGAAGGATGAAAGGCTGAGTCAACCTTGAGCCGGTGAGAATCGAACTCCTGGCTGCGGGCAGAGTTACGCTGCAATACTGCATTCTAACCATTGTGCCACAGGAAGGAGGGAGGGAGGGAGGGAAGGAAGGAAGGGAGGGAGGGAGAGAGAGAGAGAGAGAGAGAGAAAGAAAGAAAGAAAGAAAGAAAGAAAGAAAGAAAGAAAAAGAAAGAAAGAAAGAAAGAAAGAAAGAAAGAAAGAAAGAAAGAAAGAAAGAAAGAAAGAAAGCAATAGCACTTAGACTTATGTACCGCTTCTGGCTGTGAGCAGAGTTATGCTGCGATTCTGCATTCTAACCATTGTGCCACAGGAAGGAAGGAAGGAAGGAGAGAGAGAGAAAGAGAAAGAAAGAAAGAAAGAAAGAAAGAAAGAAAGAAAGAAAGAAAGAAAGCAATAGCACTTAGACTTATATACCGCTTCTGGCTGCGATTCTGCATTCTAGCCCCCTGCGCCACAACGGCTCAATCAAGGATGGAGATCTGTCCACATTCATAAATAGATATGGGTGGACTTTGATTCATGGCTATTTGTTTAGCAACCGTTAGTAGTTCTAACAGCTCTGAAAACAGTGACCTGCGACCAGTCCTTGCACTTACAACTGTTTGCACCTTCAAAGGATCAAAATTCACCTGCTTGGCCACCGGCACCTATTTATAACAGTTGCAGCATCCCGAAGTCACACAGTCACTATTTGTAACCTTCCTAGCCAGCTTCTAACAAGCAAACTTAAGGGGGGGGAGCCCAATTCGCTTAACAACCATGTAGTCCACTTAATGACTGGGGCCATTTGCTTAATGACCACAGCAAAAGGCTGTAAAGTCAGATGCAACTTACTTAATGACTGCCTCACCTAGCAATGGAAGTTCTGGGTCCAAATTATGGCCGTTAAGTTGAGGACGACTTATGCTGAAATTCTTGAGTTGAGCTGAAATTCTGGGGATTTTGTGAGCACATTCAGTTTCCTATGGGTGGCATTAGAGAAGTGATTTACCATTTATTTTCCTGGGATGGTGATGATGATGATGATGATGATGATGATGATGATGATGATGATGATGATGATGATAATAATAATAATAATAATAATAATAATAATAATAATAATAATAATAATAATAATAATAATAAAGTTGGAAGGGACCTTGGAGGTCATCTAGTTCAACCCCCTGCTCAGGCAGGAAACCCTATACCATTTCAGACAAATGTCTGTCCAGTCTCTTCTTAAAAACTTCCAGTGTTGGCGCGTTCACCGCTTCTGGAGGCAGGTTGTTCCACTGGTTAATTGTTCTCACTGTCACTAAGTTTCTCCTTAGTTCTAGGTTGCTTCTCTCCTTGGTCAGTTTCCACCCGTTGCTTCTTGTCCTGCCTTCAGGCGCCTTGGAAAATAGCTTGACTCCCTCTTCTTTGGGGCAGCCCCAGAGATATTGGAACATTGCTATCCTGTCCCCCTTCATCCTTCTCTTCATTAAACTAGACATACCCAATTCCAGCAACTGTTCCTTGTATGTTTTAGCCTCCAGTCCCCTCATCCTCTTTGTTGCTCTGATTTTGTTTTTTCTGACTGCACAGAACAATGTGCAACTGTCCATTTATAAATCCATTTGTTATCTAGGTTTAGCCTTTCAAGATCAACTAACATTGGCTGCTATGACCTTGCTTTCCATAAAGTAACGTTGTCTTTGAACTGGACTGGACTCCCAGTGACTCACACCTGCGCAGATATAGAAATGATTTGTTTTCTGCTGGGAAGTTTCAATTCCCCAGTCTAAACTGCATCACAGGTTGCTATAAATAAATACGAGGCCCCAAGGACACCACGTCTTAAATAATACAGACACCGGATCCTCTATTCGTCCCGACACAAGTAAGGCTGCTTCAGATGTATCTCAGGTGCCAAACCCATCAAATGACCAGAATCCAAAGTATTGCTGCTATTGTTTTCAATAGTAATGATATATATATATATTTCTTTCATTGTTATGATTATCGTGGATGGTGTATGCTGCTCCTCTTTGAAAACAATCCCAGAGAGACTTGTAGGACTCAATGCAGAGAACAGAGGGTCACAAATAGTATGCAACTGACACAATTGTAAAGCTGATAAACCACAATTGGAAGCAAATATAATTGCAAGGGATCTCTGGCTGCCTTCAAACCGGACGCAGTTGAGAAAATCAAGGGCACCACTCCACAAAGCAGGACACTGGCTTGGTAGCTCACGTACACCTAGATCAGGGGTAGGCAACCTTGGCTCTTTTATGACTCGTGGACTTCAACTCCCAGAATTCCTGAGCCAGCTCAGGAATTCTGGGAGTTGAAGTCCATGAGTCATAAAAGAGCCAAGGTTGCCTACCCCTGACCTAGATCAAGGTGAATGGTCCAACTGGTGTCTATTTCTGTCCCTGCCCCCCATCATCTCCTGGCCCACAAAGGAACGATAAGTGAGAATAGCTGGAGTGGAGTGGATATCTACCACCAGATATGAGAAACATACAAAGAAGAGGAACCCAGAAGATAAGGAAATGAAAGCTTACAAGAAAACGAGAAAAGAAAAAAACAAAAAAAAACCAAAAAAAAATCCTACAAAATTGAGTGGGCTGTATTCCGATAGAGTTTATTTTGACTTCGAGATATGGTTTGTTTTGGTTTGTTGTAGCCATTAC